TCTGGCTATTGTTTATAATTGTTTTTTCCACATGAACTTTGGACTACCACTGACTAGTATAGCATTAGGCTTCCTGTTGTTAGGGGCTGTAAAGTTGCTTACTTACATACATACAATAGAATGACTCCCTGCCCGGTCCTGTACCGTCCTCACAGGCACTGCTGTGTTTGTGCCAATTGTTGCAGACACTGTCAATCCATCTTGCAGAGGCTCTTCTGCTTTTTCACTGACCCTCTACTTTACTTCTCTAGGGTCCGGTCCCTCCTGATAACATGTCCAAAGGACGTGAGACAAAATCCAGCCATCCTCACTTCTAAGAAATCATCTGGCTGTACTTCTTCCAAGACAGATTTTTTTCATTCTTCAGGCAGACCGTGATATATTTAATATTATTTGTCAACTCCTATTTCAAAAGCATCAGTTCTCTTCATTGTTTGGTTTTTGCATGAATATGAGGTGATTGAAAATACTATCGCTTGGGTCCTTAGTCTTCAAAATGACATCTTTGTTTTTAACACTCCAATGAGATATTTTGCAGCAGAGTTGCCCAGTGCAATACGCCATTTGATTTCTTGACTGCTGGTTTCATGGGAATTGAGCGTGGATCCAAGTAAAATGAAATTCTTGACAACTTCAATGTTTTCTCCATTTATCATGATAGTTATTAGTCCAGTTGTGAAGATTTCTGTTTTCTTTATGTTAAGGTGTAATCCATACTGAAGGCTGTAGTCTTTGGTCTTCAACAGTACGTGCTTTAAGACTTCTTCATTTCCTTGTAAGCAAAATTGTGTCTTCTGCAAATTGCAGCTTGTTAACGAGTCTTTCTCCAACTCTGTTACCATGTTCTTCTTCATATAGTCCAGCTTTTTAAGTTATTTGCTCAGCATACAGATGAAAAAAGTATAATGAAGGATACAACCTTGACACACACCTTTCCTGATTTTAAACCCCTTGTTCTATTTGAACTACTGCCTCTTGGTCACATACAGATTCCTCATGAGCATAATCAAGTGTCCTACAACACCCATTCTTCACAATGTTATCTATAGATTTTCTTGATCCACCAGTCAAAAGCCTTGTCAATAAAACACAAGTAAACATCTTTCTGGTATTCTCTGCTTTCAACCAAGATCCATCTGATGTCAGCAATGATATCCCTAGTTTCACATTCTTTTTTGAATCCTGTTTGAACTCCTGGTAGTTCCCTGTGGATGTACTGTTGCAACCATTTTTAATTATCTTCAGCAAAATTTGAATTGCATGTGATATGAATGATATTGTTTGATGGTTTCCGCATTCCGTTGGGTCACCTCTCTTTGCAATGGGCACAAATATGAATCTCTTCCAATCCGTTGGCTTGGTAAATGTCTTCCAAATTTCTTGACATAAATGAGTTGACTACCTCCAGAGCTGCATCAATTTGCTGAAAGATTTCAATATGAATATATATTCCATTAATTCCCGGAGCCTTGATTTTCACCACTGCCTTCAGTGGAACTTGGACTTCTTCCATCAGTACCTTGGTTCTTAATTATAGGCTTCCTCTTGAAATGGTTGAACATTAACCATATTTTTTTGGTACCATGACTGTGTGTAACTTCCATCTTCTTTTGATGTTCTGCATCATTCAATATTTTGCTCATGTTCTAGTTGTTAAGTACCATCAAGTTGTTTCCAACTCAGCGAACCTATATAGGATTTCTGCAGAGCAGCTTGTGGGTTTGAACTGCTGACCTTGCATTTTGCAGCCTAATGCTGATCCTACAGCACCACACCAGGAGTCCATTTTGCCCATGTTGTTGTTGTCAGGTGCCATCGAGTCGGAACCGACTCATAGCAACCCCATGCACAGCGAATCCTTCAATATTGCAAATCGAAGCTTGAATTTTCATTTTGTGATTTCAATTTGAGAAATGCTGAGTTTGTCTTTATACATTTCATTATAAAACTTGACTTTGTCTTCTCAAACTGCCCCTTGAAATTTTCTGTTCAGCTTTTTTACTTCCTTATTTCTTCCATTCACTTTCGCATGTCTAACCTGGAGAGCAAGTTTCCGAGTCTCTTCTGACATCAATTTTGATCTTTTCTTTCTTTCCTGTCTTTTTAATGACCTTTTGTTTTCTTCCTGTATAAGATTCTTGATTTCATCTCTCAGCATTCCTGGTCTTTGTCCTTAGTGTCTAATGCATCAAATCTATTCTTAATTTCTTTTGTTTTTTCTTAAGTTTTTATTGTGAATTATGTGATAGCTTACATGGGGGAACATTAGCTTCACATTCATCCTATTGTATATCATTTCATTGCCATGATTACAATCCCCTCCATGCACCATCAAACAACCAAAGGGTATACCCCACAAGCCTGCCCATCAGTAATCAGCACACAGCCCCTCTCCCTCTCTGGGTCTAGATTTGCCAGCCACTCCATCTCTCTGTGTCATTGTCTCTGCCTCCATCTCTGGCATCACTGTTTCTCTGGGTAGGGTCCCACACTCCACTCTTCTCCTTTAATGGTCCCAGGGACCTCCACTCCAGGACTGCAAAGTCAACCACTCCCCTCCTTTTGCTACATAACGTCTACCTTTACATTTCCAACCCTCACAGTCAGTCCTGATAGTAATCATTCACTATTGTACCACAAGAGTCCTATCCCCATCTCCTTTCATCAGCCCCACCCAGACAGATTGGATACTATTCAGTGGAGATTCTACTTTCCTCCACCCCCTCTGGATCTAAGTTCCCTCTTGAAAGCTTGTAAGCCAGTCCGTTCTTGCCTTTGTGTCCCACCCCCTCTTTTTGGATAGCCAATGTCAAAGTTGCCCATCCCTGTCTACCCTGTGTATTGAGGGGGTGAGAATGGTCCTTGCTGTAAATATTTATTCCCTCTTTTGAGCAACTGCATCCATAGGTGGTGGTGGTGTTGTTTTTAGGTGCCATTGAGTTGGTACTGACCCATAGTGACCTTATGCACAGCAGAATGAAACACTGCCCGATCCTGGGCCAACCTCACTACTGTTGCCATGCTTGAGTTCATTGATGCTGCCACTTGGCCAATCCATCTCGTTGGGGGTCTTCCTCTTTTTCTCTGACCCTCCAACCTACCAAACATGATATCCTTCTCCAGTGACTGGTCCCTCCTGACAATATGTCCAAAGAATGAGAGATGCAGTTTGGCCATCTTGGCCTCCAAGGAGTACTCTGGCTGCACTTCTTCCAAAACAGATCTATTGGTTCTTTTGGCAGCCCATGGCACTTTAATATTCTTCTCCAGCACCATAATTCAAAGGCATCAGTTCTTCTATGGTCTTCCTTATTCCCTGTCCAGCTTTCGCATGTATATGAGGTTATTGGAAATACCATGGCTTGGGTCAGGTACACCTTAGTCCTCAAGCTGACATCTTTCCTCTTCAACACTTTAAAAAGGTCTTGTGCAGCAGATTTGCCTAATGCAATACGTCGTTTGATTTCTTGACTGCTGTTTCCGTGAGTGTTGATAGTTGATCCAAGAAGAATGAAGTCCTTGACAACTTCCATCTTTTCTCTATTAATAAGAATGTTGTTTATTGGTCCAATAGGTATAGGTCAAGTTAATTAAATTGTATCAGATTACTCTTTTTTTCCCTCTTCTTTCTTCTTCTGTTTGAGCTCTGGTCATCCAGTCATTGAAGCCAGGTCAAGTGGGTATTATCTGCAAGTGTGGGTGTTCTTATGCATATGCCCTCTCTTCTTATCAGCTGGACGCTTCACTTTCCATTCTAGTCCTCTGTGGCTATGTCACTGTCTCTGGGCCCAGGAGTCCCCAGGTCTTGCCACACTGCTGACCAACCAGGTCTCCACCCGGGTTTACAGGAGTCTATTGAATGTTGTAGGGCGTAGCTCACAGCTTCATTGCTGTTTATCCCTCATGTCCCCTTATCTCACCAGTCAGACCACATGCCTCCTCATGTATTCCTCCTGAGTCTTAGTCTTGGAAGGGGTCAAATCTATTCTTGAGAAGGTCTCTAAATTTAGGTGGAATATGTTCAAGTTTATGTTTTGGTTGTTGTAGATTTGTTTTAATTCTTTCACCTTCAGCCTGAAGTTGCATATGAGCAGTTCCATAGTCGGCCCCTGGTCTTGTTTTGACTGATGCTACTGAGCTTTTCCACCATCTTTTCCCACAGATGTCAGTTTGATTCTGCCACTCATCTGCCAGTTTATTGTATTGTGGTAGCTTGCTTATTGCTGAGATGCTGGAAGCTATGCCACGGATAGTTTGAACACCAGCAAGGTCACCTATGGCAGACAGGTTTCAGCAGTGTTTCCAAACTAAGACAGAAGGAAAGGTGGATTATCTCTGAATTTTTGGCCACTGAAAACCTTATGAATGTTGTTGTTGTTAAGTGCCATCATGTTGGAATATTGTCACATACAGTGCCAGAAGATGAAAATATGACTAGCACCAGAATATTGTCATAGTGTTGGAAGATGAGACCCCGAGGTTGGAAGGCACTTATAAAATGTGACTGGGAAAGAGCTGCCTTCTCAAAGGAGAGTTGACCATGAGGACATGAATGGAGTAAATCTTTTGGGACTTTCATTTGCTGATGGAGCACAACTCAGAATAAGAAGAAACAACTGCCAGCATCCATTAATAATCGGAACATAGAATGTACGAAGTATGAATCTAGGAAAAATTGGAAGTTCTCAAAAATGAAATGAACCTCATAAAGAATGATATCCTAGACATCAATGTGCTGAAATGAACTGGTATTGACCATTTTGAAGCAATCATGTAGTTTACTATGTAGAATATGACAAATTCAAGAGGAATGGTGTGCATTTATCATCAAAAAGAGCATACCAAGATGAAGTACAATACTGTCTGTGATTGGATAATAACCATATGCCTATAAGGAGTCCTGGGGTGACGCTGTGGGATAAAGCACTTGACTGCAAGGTCAGTTTGAAGCACAAAGTCGGCAGTTCAAACTCACTAGCAGCTCCTCGAAAACCCTATACAGGGGCGCTATGAGTCGGAACCAACTCCGTGGCACTTAACAACAGCAACATAGAAGACCAGTTAATACTGTTATTCGAATTTATGCACCAACCGCTAAAGCCAGTGAAGATGAAATTGAAGAATTCCACCAATTTCTTCACTCTGAAATTGATCAATCAAAATGTTTTGCTAATTTTTAGTGATTAGAATGTGAACTTGGAAACAAAGAGGAAGGATCAGTAGTTGGAAAGTATGACCTTAATGATAAAGTGATGGAGATTGCACAATAGAATTTTGTAAAACCAATTACTTACTCATTGCAAATACTTTTTTAAAAACATACAAATGGACCTTGCCAGGTGGAAAACACTGGCATCAAACCGACTATATATATCTGTGGGAAGAGACAGTGGAAAAGCTCATATCTGTCTATAACTTTAATATATGTTAATTGATTTCTAGTGACTTAAAGATAAAATAAGGAATTTGCATAACATCTTCCCCAAAGACATTAATTCTAAAGTCAACTGAATATGCATAAGAATTTGTCACACCCCAAGAGGCAGAGCTCCAATGCCTAACCCATCTGAATCCAGTGGATTTCTGAACTGTAACAGTCAACCTTCTTTCCTAATTTTTAGTTATTCAATTTGTCTTTTAGTCTGAAACAGGAGTAATTGATTTATTTACACATACAGCTCTTATTTAAGTTCTGATCCCAGTGTATATGAGGATCTGCTTGAGTGTCCATTTCACCTTCTTCTTAACATTAGAATTCATGTGGGAAATTTGTGTGCATGTAGTTATAAGATGGACTATTACAAGAAAATATTTGTTTATTCTCAGCATTTAAGATGTAGCTTCCAACTGTCTTCCATATGTTATCTTCACCATATTTAGTGTGGCCTGTGCTTAATTACAGTCTTATCAAATCTTTCTGTGGAATACCACGAATATTATTCTTCCAAATAAATATGCTTTTGCTCTTTAAAGTTATTTTCTCTTTTCTACTTCTTATGCTACTGTTTGCAATTTTCTGCAGATCCGTATATTTATTAAATATAATTTGGAAGCAGAAAGCAAAGTGAGAAAAGTCTATCTTAATTACATGCTCTTGTATCTGTGGTGATGTACAAGAAGATTTGATAATACTGTGATGCGCACAGGTCATACTAAATATGGTCAAGATAACCTCTGTGTGCTTCAGTTTTCCAATGTGCAAAGTTTTATTAGTCATTGATAAACATTTATCGTGTCTACCACGTGCTCTGTGCTGGTGTTTTGGGACAAGGCAGGCAGTGTGGTATGTCCTGAAAGGAAATCACAACTCAACTTCTATGACCAAATGTAGAATGGCGTCACTAATTCTTTCTGGATTGTTAAAAGAGGTTCTGGGTAGATTGTTGCTGTTGTTAACTGCCTTTTAGTCGGTTCTGACCCATAGCGACCCTGGGTAGATTACAGTTGGCCAAATTGGGACAAGAGTAAGGACACTGTAATTGAGAGAAAAGTTATGCGAAGGTGTGGAGTTGTCATTGAGAATGGGTGTCTGGGATTCGTAGACTCATTCTGTCTATGATGAATCAAATGTGTGCATCTGCAAGAAGGAATTAGTGGGAGCAGATCAGCATGGGTGAAGGGCTTGGCTAAAGATTGTATCCTGTGGCATATCAAGAATCACGTGATGTTTTAAAGCTGGGGAATTACTTGATCAAATGTACAATTTAAAAACATTGTGTTAGAGATTGAGATTAGAGAATTGTTAAAGACCTTTCCAATTACGTAGAATCATGTCAATATTGCTGCATGGTAAACCACCCGAAAACTTAATGGTTTAAGCACAATCGTTCATTCAGCTTCAGATTGTGCTGGGAGTTTTTCTAGTTGCTGCTGGGCTCAGATGGCTTTATTTATATACTTGTGTCAGCTGCTAGCCAAATATCTTTGCTTCCAGAGGCTTTTGACAAGGGTGATGGGGCAACTCAATCATTGTATCTCTCATTCTTCATCATGATAGCCTGGGCCTATTCGCATGGCAACAATGGCATTGAATCCAGAGCATCAAGAGAGGAAAAATCAAAGCAAAAGTCTAGCACAGATTCAAGGGGTAAGAAAATAGGGTCACCATTTACTGGGACAAGCTGCCAAGTCATACTACAGTCGTGTTTGTTGTTATTAAGTGCCATCGAGTTGGTTCCAGCTCAACCCTGTATAGGGTTTCTGAGGATGGTCAGGCTTCATCTCTCATTCTTTGGAGATATTATCAGGAGGGACCAGTCCCTGGAGAAGGACATTGTGCTTGGTAAAGTGGAGGCTCAGCAAAGAAGAGGAAGACCCCAAACAAGGTGGATTGACATAGTGGCAGCAGCAATGGCTCAAGTGTAACAATTGTGAGGGTGATACAGGATTGGATGGTGTTTCATTTTGTTGTGCTATGAGTCAGAGGCGATTCAAAGTCACCTAACAACAAAAACAGTTTGTTTTATATATATATATATATATATATATTTGACTGTTTATTTCAGTGTTGGTTTTTTTTGCCTAGGCATGGGATGATGTATTTCACCTCTGTGAATATTTCCAACAATACAGGTTAGACTATAGCACAAAATGAAAATGCAGAGTCCCTTGTTAAAAATGATTAGGAATTCCCAGATAGTGATATCAAAACATGGAACAAGTGAGAGCCTGTTTGCATGTAGGAGCCTGTGCAACATGTGCAGGCTGTATGCTCATGAAGCTGTTTCTGCTACAACAGGAGATTAGACAAATCCTTTATTGTATCAGTTCTCATATTAGTCATTCCACAGTAACCCCTCGTAACCCTAATGGAGCCAACTGTTAAGTATCATGCCTTGTTTTAAATATTTCTTAAATACCATTGTCTCTTTTTCCCAAAAGGTATCTGGATGCTCAAGGCAATTATTTATAATGAGTTTTATGGGACTGAAGTAGAACTTGGACCTTATTATGTGGAGATTGATCATGAGGTCCTGTCTGTGTTCATGAATTCCAGCAGTCTGCATGAGGATGAAGTTATTATCTTTGCTGATTCCCACACAGATCAGAAAAGTAAGACCTTCATTTGCAAGCTAAGTAGTCCAACTATAGCTATGAGTGGAGCATGGCTTTCTCTCTGCTTCAAGTATCCACTTATAACAATTCCAAATTCAGGCATGCCTTTCATCACTTCCTACAGAAAATAGTTATGGCAGAATATCGTGGTCTAGGGATTTTCAGAAGAAGTTATCATGCAAGGTCCTACTTTTAAAGAATTTCTAATCTAGTAAAGGCATTAGTAGTGTATGTATCAAAAAAAGTATGAGCTAGATCATAAAAGTGACTTTAGGAAGATATTGCTAAAGGGCTGGGAGATTTCAGGAAAAGGGGAGAACTATACTAGCTGGAGAATAAAGAGTATTTGATATAGGAATTGGCATATGAAATAGGCTTTGAAGTCGGAGGTTTGAGTGTAAAGAAACTGGTGTGGGAGAATCATTTTGAGTAAAGCAAAATCACAGACTTAACAATAAAGAGGTGCTGGAGTTCCACTAAGTGGTTGTTATGTGCCATGGAGTCAGTTCTGACCCATAGCCACCCTGTACAGGGTTTCCGAGGCTGTAAATCTTTCCGGGAGCAGAAAGCCTCATCTTTCTCCCACGGAACAGCTGGTAGTTTCAAACTGCTGACCTTGCGGTTTGAAGCCTGATTCGCAACCACTACGCTGTTACCTCGCTTTTGAATTGCAAGGTAGGTGATTCAAACCCACCAGTTGCTCCTTGGAAACACTCTACAGTGTCACTATGAGTAAGAACTGACGCAAAGGCAGTAGCACCAGCACCCATAGCAACCATCTCGTGAATAGGTGCTCTGTTCATTTCCACTTTTATGGAGGAGAAAGCTGAGTGTAGAGGCCAGTGGCAATGGGCATTCCAGCCAAATCTCAGCAACATTATACAGGGTTGCTATGAGTTGGAACCCCCTCGAAGGCACTTAACAATAACATAGAGGTAAAGTCAACACTTTATAAACCTGGAAACGTGGGAATAAATCAAAGATAATGCCAAATTGTTCACCCTAAGTGACTGGAATTATGGTTTTATATTTCCCAGAGATAGCAGTTAAGTAAATGGGAAAATCATCATCGTGAACTCATCAATATTATTTGTTCCACACCCTGACTATATGTTTTCCATACAATTCAGTATAATTAGCTTGTTGAGAAGCTCTTTTATCCAAGAAATCATAAAACGTGTATCTGTCATTGTTGTTGTTTGTGTTTTACTACCTGTCAGCACACCCTAACCACCTAATTGGTCATTCATAGTTGCTTGTCTAGAGTTATGATATACAAACGCCATGTCCACAGTCCTTAATAAGAAAACACAATCCTTTTATGTCCCCAGCCTGTCCCATATAACCAGCTCCACAGCTTAATAAATGGTAATCTTGGACAAGGGGATGCAGTGGATCTGTAGGATAAACACTAGACTACTAACCACAAGGTTGGCAGTTTGAGCCCATCAGCCACTCCAAGGGGAAAAGATGAGGTTTTCTAATCCAACAAAGATTTCCAGCCTTGGAAACCTTAATAGGGTTGCTAGGAATTGGAACAGACTTGATGGCAATGAACAGTATCAGCAGCAACAATCTTGTGCAAATCTTAGTTACACTTTCTTCAAGGTTGTTGACTAGAGAATTGGGGTCAGAATTCAGTTTTAGTCATGGGATAATTTTTTTTTTTTTTGAAATTCTAATAGATTGATGAAGGAAAAACTATCCATTCTACTTTATCACTGTCATAAGTAAATCTTTTTCTTATAAAGGGAAAAAACATGCAGAACAACAATTGTTGTTGTTGTTAAGTGCCGTCGAGTCGGTTCCGACCCATAGCGACCCTGTACAGGGTTTCCGAGGGTGTAAATCTTTACGGGAGTAGAAAGCCTCATCTTTCTCCCGCGGAGCGGCTGGTAGTTTCGAACCGCTGACCTTAAGGTTCGCAGCCCGATTCGTAACCACTACGCTACCAGACAACAATACAAACTTTAAACACATTCTTTTATCATAAATGTTGTTGTTGTTATGTGCCGTCGAGTCGGTTCCGACCCATAGCGACCCTGTACAGGGTTTCCGAGGGTGTAAATCTTTACGGGAGTAGAAAGCCTCATCTTTCTCCCGCGGAGCGGCTGGTAGTTTCGAACCGCTGACCTTAAGGTTCGCAGCCCAATTTGTAACCACTATGCCAGAGCTCCTTTATCATAAATGAGTTGTTTTAAATCTCCCAAATCAACATAGTTCTCTTCCGGAATCTGACAAAATGTTTATTATCTGTCTTTTTGTGTGTGTGTAAGATTTTATGTAAAATTTGAGGGCTTAAACAGTTGAGACTTATTTAAGACACAGTTTTAAGAACCCCTGTGAAGCAGAAGACTGCTTAGCACACATATTGGAGAAATACTTTTAAACGGAGCTCTGGTAGCGTAGTAATTACAAATCGGGCTGCGAACCTTAGGGTCAGCAGTTAGAAACTACCAGCTGTTCCATGGGAGATGAAGCGTTCTGCTCCCGTAATGATTTACAGCCTCAGAAACCCTGTACAGGGTCACTAGGAGTCGGAATCGACTCCACGGCACATAATGACAACAGCATCTAGTAATTAATTAACCTATCGTCAAGTAATTGGCATATTTACTGTTATATAGTGAATCTTCAAGAGAGATGGAGAAGATGCTTAAAATCTTAATGAGAAAAGAATCTGTGAGAGAACTTCTGAGAGGAATTCATGGTTTCTCAAGCTTGTTTCAAAACACATGCTTTAAATTTTGAAATGACTTAGGATTCAAAGAAAGAAAGTGAAAAAATATACACCATTGACCATGTGTTCCTTGAGACAAGTGAACTAAATTTCAGACTTTTTCTCTTCTCTGCTTTTTTCCTCATTTTAGGCACTGTTGTTACACATCATTTCCCATCCGTTTCCTCATACCATGTGTCCTTCATTTCCCGAAATCAAGTGGGTGACAGCGGAGCCTGGCCCAGCGTGACTGTGTGGTATAAGATGCAACGTACGTTGTTCTAATTCCAGATTTAACAAATTTTGCTTCGTGCTATCAGTTGAGATGATGACAGCCATATTCAACACTGTGTTCTGTCATCAGCTCTGCCTGAAAACCTCATTCGCCCTTTGTACAGCCTCTTTATTGACCTACCATATGTTCTAGGTATGAAGGCTTCAATTTAAAGGTAGGAGATGGGAAAGCATCAAGAAACATCACCTGCCAGTGAGCATTTTGAGAGCTCAATGATTTTGTTTAGTAATTCTAATCAAGCACTGCTTGAAAGCATCTTATACACCTGCCACCTTGTTCTTCTGTCTTTGCTTTTTAAGTATGTTTTGACTATTGTTACGATGTAACAATGGTGACCTGGTTCTATCTAAAGCCTGGTCCCTGTTTGTATAACGTTTGATAAGGAATAGCCATCTAGGCAAACAGGCCTGGGGAGAGTAAATCTTGTACTCCCCTTTGATGTGTTTATTGGACCATCATGACCACCTTGTGAATTAGTATAAATGTTAAGATTATTGCTCCCCTGCATGTTGTACTAATTACATTTCTTAAAAGTAGTTTAAATAATTGCTCGTACAAAAGAATCATCTACCAGGAAACCTGCCTCTTTGCTGGAGTGTTTGTTAATTGGATTCAATCACTCCAGAGCATTGGAGCCAAGCTTTAGCGTAATACCAGCTTCCCCATACTATGTACCCTTGTAAGGAAAATTCCAAAGGGAGTTGCCCCGATTGCTTTATGATCTATAACTTTGATGACTTTTGAACTCAGTTCATAATTGCTCGTCAGCAGTAATGCCATCACTGCCCACACATACAGAGGTTTAATACCCATCACAGATCCATGACTGAATGGGGAAGTAGAGCTACCACCCTCTACGGTACGAGTTCTAACCCTTTCATTCTGAAGTACCTGCTCTCTCTCCTCACAGCTGTTTCTGTCTACACAAATGGAACTGTGTTTGCCTCAGATGTGGCCATCACTTTTGTAGCTGTTACCAAGGAAACCAGTCCTCTGGAGTTTGAGTGGCATTTCGGAGAAGACCAATCTGTGAGGACAACTTCAAGAATCATTGAAAAGAAACTTCGCATCCCGCAGTGGTCTGTAAACACGTTCATGATGTACACCTGGTGGTGATGCAACTTTACTTCAATCTGAGGGTTATTCTACTTCCAGTCAAGTCATTTTAAGGGCGTTTTAGTACTTGTAATGAGCCACTAAGCACTTGTGGGGATTAAACTCACATGTAAATTTTAAATGTTGACGGAGTCCCTTCCCTTCACTCTGAATTGAGTGAACAGGGTGTGGACTTCGAAATCAGAAAAACCTGTATTTGAAACCTAATTAAATACTAAGGGTGTTAAAAAGTGTTTACTCTCCCTTTTCTTCCTTCCTTCTAGTAAGATGAAAATCATTAAGTGTTGTGATAATTCCTGCAAATTAAATGCCCAAATCCCCCTGATGTTCTCTTTGAAGTAATGTAGAGATTCTTTCTAATGTTTGCCTTGTTTCTTTTGTACCATGTGACTTTTGTGGCTTCTGAGGCCTCATTTCACAGGTATCGTGTGGTGGTCAAGGCTTCTAATGGGGTCACTAGTGTGATCTCTGAGCCCCACTTCATCAGGGTCCAGAAGAGAATCATTGCCAATCGCCTCTCATCCGTCTCCTCTGCTCTGGTAAATGCCAGTGTGAACTTTGAGTGCAGGATCAATGTTGGCACGGATGTTGCTTACCTGTGGAACTTTGGGGATGGTACTGTCCATCCGGGAAATAGCACCAACACTCACGTCTATAGCAGGTAAGGTGCGCCAGGCACCCATGCAGAGCTTTCCACTACTGCCTCTGCTGGGATTGAATTTTCAGTTATCTGACCTTCGGTTTTCCAGAACCTGGCTTGCCTTTCAGTCAGTATGATCTTGTTAAGTGCTGTTGAGTCGGTTCTGACTCATAGTGACTCTGTATAGGGCTTCCAATGAGCAGCTGGTGAGTCTGAACCTTCAACCTTGTGGCTCAAATCAAACTTGCAATCCAGTGCTTTATCCACACCAGGACAGCTGACACATATTTACCGTAGACAAATAAAACTCAGTTATTGTTCATTGGAAGGAGCCCTGGTTAACATTGAAATGCTAACCACAAGGTCAGCAGTTTGAATCCACTAGCCTCTTTGTGGGAGAAAGATGAGGCTTTCTGCCCCGTAAAGATTTACAGCCTCGGAAACCCTATACAGGGTCAATATGCGTCAAATTCAACAGCACACAACGGCAACAGAAGTATTGTTTACTGGACTGCTAAACATAAGGTTGGCAATTCAAACCCACCAGGTGCTTCATGGGAGAAAGATTAGGCATAGAAACTCTATGCAGGTTTACTATGAGTCACAACAGACTTGGTAGCACCTAACAACAACAACAACAACAGCAGGAGCAGCATTCTTCATGAAGAGCTCAGCCCCAGGGGAAATGACAAAGAGGTAAGCAAATACTTTAAGAACCGTGCTGTGGACCAGAACAAAAGAGGTACAGAGTGTTATGGGAACACTTACTGTTCTTTGTAAAATTGGAGTAGAAGTTTACCAAAGGAGAAGTGGGGGAGGGTACTCCAAACAGAGCACAAAGGTACCACTGGGGGGCATTATCACAAAGTAAGAGGATTGGAGGGACTGATACATATAATAGGGAGGGATGAGGCAAGCAAGGTTAACATAAAACTTGAAGATACTCGAAGACAAATTGTAAGGAGCCTTCAGTGCCATACTGAAGAATTTGAACGCTATCTTGAATTTGGCATTTACTGAGCAAAAATTGTTTGCCATGAGTAAAGCACTATGGAGATACAAGAAAGAGGTATGAGTACCTTTGTCCAAAATAAACTTTATATTTCCTTGGGGAGGTGGATGTTGTTGTTAAGTGCCGTCGAGTCGGTTCCGACCCATAGTGACCCTATATAGGGTGTCCAAGGATTGACTGGTGAGCTTGAACCACCGGCCTTGCAGTTCAGACGGCTTTGCAGTCTGGTGCATTAACCCACAGCGCTACACTAGGACTCTGGGGAGGTGGATATGTCCATAGAAAACCACAGGTGGTAATCCCAGGATTGCTTAACTTGGAGAGCATTTGGCCTCTCTCTGACTTCAGCCTGGGCTTTACATCTGAAACTGCCTTTGATCACTCTGCACTTTGTCTAGTCTTTAGATTCTCCATGTGACATGGACTAGAGGCCACACCCCTTCTCTTAGGGATCTCTCCCTGGATGTAGGACCCACAGAGGTGGTCCTGGGCTCAGGTTTCCCTGATTGTTTCAGCTTTAATTTCCCTTTACCTGTTTGACCTCACAGTCCTAATCAGAAGAGCTTTGCCCAGAAGTCCCACAGTCTTTCCTTGACCTTTCCATCTGGGTAGGGGCCGTCTCCAGAAGCGAGTGATAATGACCGTTATAAATGTAGACTTACTCTCTGGAATTGGACCATACCCATCTTCCTGAGGTTAAAGCCCTCCCTAGACTGGACTTCATTTAGTTGATAGGCGCCACCGTTCCTAACTGTGGCCTACACTTTGTCCAGGCCACCCATGCCTGCCTAAATTTGTCCTTTAGGGCCCAGCACACCCTCAATCTGGTGCACTGAAAGAGCTTTCGGCTCAGGTTGTTACTCAGAGGTTGGCTCTGCTGCATTTTATCAGAGTAAACCTGAGCTTCAATTCTCTTCTCCTCAATTGTTTAATCTGTGAAATGGGGGTAGGGATTCCCATCTAAGTCCTCTGAAAAGTACCAGTGAGATACTATTAATAAAGGAACATATTCAGATGTCCTCTAGCCTCTTGTTCTCCCCTGAACTAGGGCAGTGATGACTGCGCAGTTTGCCTGGGACCCTGGACAGGCAAGACCGCAGGCTCAGAAGGGCTTCAGAGCATAACAGGACCAAAGGTCATGCATCATACAGCTTGAGACAAAATGTAACTCCTTAGCATAGTGTCCACCGTGGTATGGGCCTCGTGGTCTTCCTCTCCACTCCTCTCAGCCCCCATGATGTTTTTTCCAGCATACCCTTAGCACGTTCTGGCTTGGATTCCTGGTCTTTCTTAGATATGAGCCTTCTGTGTAGCTTCCACATGCTGCACTTGGTAGACTTTGGCCTCCCACCACAGAGTTCTGTGGGAGTCAATGGGAGCTTTGGTGTTTGTACCTGCTGTGTTTATAGCTCTCGGCTCATGATGGTGGTGGTGATGTGCCACGGAGTCGGTTCCAACTCATAGCAACCCTGTGTAGGGTTTCTGAGGCTGTAAATCTGTAGGGGAGCAGAAAGCCTCATCTTTCTCCCGCTGAACAGCTGGTTGTTTTAAACTGCTTCTAACCTCTACACTACCAGACCTCCTTCTTGTTGTTGTTGTTATGTGCTGTGGAGTCGGTTCCAACTCATAGCGACCCTGTACAGGGTTTCCGAGGCTGTAAATCTTTACGGGAGCAGAAAGCCTCATCTTTCTCCCGTGGAACAGCTGGTAATTTCCAACTGCCGACCTTGAGGTTAGCAGCCTGATTCGTAACCACTACGCTACCAGAGCTCCTTAGGGGGCTGTTTATTCTCACATGGATTGAATAATTTTTTTTCATATAGCATGTGAAAGCAGTGTAGGAATTCAACCCTTGTCCTGACCCATGCTAGGTAAGAGAAGAAATGCTATTATCTGGAGAGCATCCCTAGATTCTTTCCCCATCTGTATATATATATATTTTAGGATGAATTCTTTATTACATAATATTTAGTAGTCATGCTCAACAGTAAGGTCCACAGAAACTTGTAAATATTTTGCTAAATAATCTAACACATATTTTAGCATGTCACCATGAAAAGAATCCCTGTATCCTGTATTCATACAACTTCACAAACTGGGGAATAAATAAAGATACAAGCACACAGGAACTTTGCTTAAGAGAGGATAAAATTATAGTTAGTGATAAGTCGAAGACGAATCCTAATGCTTTCGTAACACCAAACTGCAAAGTAGCTCCTGGTCAGAACAGCGTGGAGAGGCTGTGTGGCAGGTGAGACACAAACCTAGGCCCCCCCAGGTGGCTCGCTGCAGAGGATGCTTTTTAAGCTGCTTAAACTATATTAACTCGTAGTCGTAATGGAACTTTCCAGTGGCTTTCCACGTGCTCTTCAAACTTGCTCTGATCGTAGCTGGGAGGGAACATTAATTCACAGAGGAGGCACTTCTTGTGGACATCAAAGCTGGAATCAAAGCAAAAACCTGTGCCATGTCCACACAAATGCTGACTTGAAGGATCAGGACCAGTGGGTACAGGCTCATCTGCTTTGCTCTCCTCAGGGTCTTCTAAACCATCATGCTGGCTAAGATTTCGAGCAGGCTGGTTGCAGACAACACTGTCCTCCAGTCCCCAAGAGTGTGCTCTAACAGGTGGCCTTTGAATTTCATCTGGATAAAAAGCACCATCTGCTCCATCTCATTTCCTGTACTGCACACGGATTGCCTTATTGCAGAACTGGTGGCTTTATTGGGCATCGCAGCAGCATGAACATTTTGCTCTGAGCATGTGTTGAGATGTTGTGAGAACTGTTGTGGACTCTGGGGACTCTGACCTTCCATTTTCTTTTCAGCTTGATTTTCTAGACTCCTTTGAATTTCCTTCTTCCTGGCAAGGTTTTCCAAGTGGGAAGTTAGACCATTTCTTTCTTTGTCTTTCTGTGCCAACTGAAGTTTATAATTGTCCTCTATTTCAGCTAGTTCTAGTTTGACATTTTTAGCAATTTTCACTTGTTCTTTCCATTTCAGCTCCATTTTTGCAAGTTCATCAGCATATTTCTTGCATTTTGTTTTCTCATCCTGTAAGAGTTGTTGACATATTTTATACTTTTCTGTTTTGTCTGCAATTTCTTTGGTCATCTCACAGACTTGCTCCTTTGTTACAATGTAAAAATCAGTCTCAGCTGCAGAAGGCAGAGGCCTTGCATGGACAGGAGAAGTCTGAGCAGCTTCGTTCGTCCGTGTTTACTGAGGCATCATTCACCCTCTGCTGACCCACAGTTTTCTTTGTGAAGACACTATTATTACTGGTTGATTGGTTTGAAAGCTTGTTTGTCTTTGGAGCCTCTGACATTCCTTGAATTTTTCTTTATAATGATCTGCCACCTTCTGAAGGCAGTTTCAGACCTTCCACCTCTCTTCTCAGCTTGTGTTCCAGTTCATAGCATTCAGTTCAAGTTCTGCCACTGCATCTGCTAACTGCTTTTTTACTTTCTCATTTTTCAAATGTGCAGTATGTGGATCTGCCATCGTCTTATCTCTGACACTGACAGCATCAGTAAGCTCTTTAGTTGTCGGGGTCTTGCCTCGACAGGAGAGTGAGTTGCACGAAGTTGGGAGGTCTGAGAGGCAAAAGATATAGCATAGAGACAATATAGACACAAAAAAACAGACACACAAATTTAATGCAAGCTGAAAGGCAGGTTGGTCTACTGCATTGCCTTGCATTACATCCAGCATCTCATCCAGCATTGCATTACATCCAGCATTGCAAGCAGCCTTACATTCAGCATTGCATGCAGCCTTACATTGCATCCAGCATTGCATGAAGCACTCACACTGCCTCAGCCTTTTATAGTCTTTTTCCAAGGAGGGCTTTTTCACAAAGGGAGGATGTGATTATTCAGATAAAATAAAATACCGAACTGAAAGGTGACTAATCATTCATAACAGGACACAATGAATCACAGGAACAAATTTTATAATATACATCATAATTGTCTCAAGGATACTTACCATGCTTTTAGCACTTAATCTCTAATGGGTAAAGGTGAAAAAGATTTAAAAGGTCATAGAAGGCTTAAAGTAAGGTTTTTGAAGGGAGTCAAGCTGTCTTTGTATACTTTGCAAACAAAAGCTCATGTTTTTGTTTGTGAGCAAGATCTCAGACACCTGGCTTCATTTATTAACTAATAATTCTTTCTTCTTTCCGGATTCTGTATCTAAATGCTACATCACATTTCTATATACTTCCAGGAGGAAGGGGAGCATCTGGGTTAAGCTGATTATACCCAGAGGCTCTTTGAGGGGGCTGCCACTATTGTCCTTTTTTTCTTTTTTCTTTTTTTAATGTTTTATTGTGAATTATATGATAGTTTACATGGGAGAACTTCAGTTTTACATTCATTCCATCATATATCATCTCATTGCCATGGTTCCAAT